ATCGAGTAGACTCTACTACCAGCACAAGGCAGCAGTCGTATCACTCACTGCACTGCACTGCAGTACAACTACATCATCAGTACATGTACAAGTCAAGTCCAAAAGGAGCCGCCTAGCGCCTGCGTCCGCAGACTCGCGTTGCACAGCACGTAGACGTGGACGTGTTCAAACGAGTCCACGTACGTCAGTCACACGACAGCTAGCCCGCCGAAAAAAAAGTTACGGTCGGGCTGAAAATTGTACGGTCGGTCGGGTGAGTCGAACCACAGATCTTCTTCAGTGTGGCCCTATTACACTATTATTAGTCTTAGTTTTGCGGCCACCACGGCAAAAACGTCAGATGCACCAGGTCCATGGCAGCCATGGGATGGCTTCTAGCTGAAGTGGACACCCCCTCGCACAGCCCCAGACTACCTCCTGCGATCCTTCCCCTTCTTCGCCATCACCCTGGAACAACCTGCCTGCGGACCTCCTGCTTCACGAACCTCATTCAAGGCGCCTCTAAACCTTCAAGGTCAACGTACATGTATGTAAGGATCTAATCCGAAAGAGATGCCTGTGGTCCACACAGTATCTGTGATTTTTTTTGATTGATTGATTTTTATTTCACGGATCCTCCAGAGGCAAATACATGTAGATGCCTATCGAAGGGAGTCTCCTAAGTAAGTATGGAAAATGAGAAAGTATGTTCGTAAGGGAGAAGAGGTAGAAGATACATTAAAATATAGAGTACAGAAGAAGTAAATTCAGTACTTCGGGTAGTACATTGCATGCTAATCATAATGAGAATTAGAAAAGCAGCATTGCGGACTACTATAACTGACATATACACAAAATATTGAAACTATCATAGATGTGGTTAGCCTAGACACAAAAGTCAGGAATACCTTTCAAAGAAAACATGGATTGCGAATGATACCGACGAACAGCAATACTAAATTTCGCTGTTGTAGAGAGTGAACGAATATCTTCAGGAAGTTTATTCCAGGCAACACTGAAAGAAACAAAAGGGTTGATTTACGAAAGTAGGTGCCAGCTTGTGACAATGATATTGAGACTGTTGTGGAATTGCGTGACTGTACTTCCAGCCAGCCCTGTACTCTGGAACGTGCAGTACCTGCAGGTCACATGCCAACAGTGCTAGTTTTAGTGTATTCTGTGGTTTGGATGATTACAAGTTACTTCTGTAGTACACATTGCATACCGGTAATCATAATAATGAGGGTGATCATCCTAGGCTACAGTGCCTGCCAGCTGTGTTTGACTCAGCAGCAATGTACTCTGCGTATATGTGGCTGTTAGAAGCTGTGTTTACACGTTATGATGAGACGCTTTGGTTCTTTTTTTCAAGTAGAAGGTCTCTCCAAAACCTTGTGTCAGTGGTTGCCAATACATTAGATGCTGTAGCTGCCGTTAGCCGCTGACTCATTGTTGTTCTCATTTGCATGTATGACTGCCCACATAGTTTAGAGGTGCTTTTCTTCCTCCGGCGTAGAAAGTGTTCGAGGAACTACCATACATTAGATGGCACACCTTTGTGAGCCGGTTACGCGAAATGCTCTGATAGGTCAATGCTTCCATGGCTTACGACTATATCCTCTTCCTTTTCGTTATCTAAGTTAGTTGCGTTTAGACCGCGGTGAGATGTTTGGCCGGTGATGAACTCTTTCCTCTCTCGTCTTCGTGCATTGATTACTTTTCCGAGCGTATACTGCTTTCCCATTTTAGACTTATTTTACCCTCAGACCTGTGGTTGCTTTGGGCAGTGTGTGCTGACAGCGTGGTTCAGGAAAGGGGGGAAATAATAATTAGTCAACAAGACCCATTTACCTTTCTACTAACAGTTGGATATAAAAAGAGAGCCGAATGTAGCCGAAAAGCCCATGATCCTGGCATAGCCCTTCTATCAGCACAACAAAAAGAACTGCGGGTAAAAATCGACTCGACAAAATGCCCAGACGGGAGGAAATCACTGAAACGCGATCGGAATCAGATATTACGCCAGATACGAGATATCGCCCGGAACAACTCTGAAGCCCGCCTGGACTCCTTCGCTCAAGAAGTAGAGAAGCTGAAAAACAATGCAAGGGTCTTTCAAGCAGCCTCTTTGCTGCGGCGGCAGTCTCCCGCGCCATTGGTTGTTCATGACGCTCTTGGACGGATAATCGCCAACGATAAAGAAGCGGCAGAGAAGGTAGCTGACCACTTCAGGCAGCAGTTTCGGGATCCATCTGCAGTAAATGATATTCTGAGACCGCTGGGCTCGAAGTATCTTGAAGATAGGATCAGCGCTGCGGAGGTTGCACTGGCAATTAGGTTACTCAAATCGCAGAGGGCAGCTGGGCCGGATGGCATCCCCGGGGACCTGTTCAAGCATGCTGGTGAGAGGATCGCACATGAGATCGCTGCCATTCTAAACCAATGTTTTGCGGATGGCAGTGGAATGGATCTTGGATGTGGAACACTAATCCCGCTCCCGAAACCAGGGAAACCCAGAGGGCCGCTAACCAGTATCAGGCCAATAATACTCTTGAACTCTATACGCAAATGCCTGTCAACAATCACACTTCGCAGGATTATGCCAAAGATTGACTCCTACCTATCTCCAACCCAGAGCGCTTCCCGTCCGGGTCGGAGTACCGCGGATATTGTCTGGTGTGGCCGGTGGCTGGCAGCCAAGGCTGAACGTTTCAAGTGGCAATGTACGGTCCTCGGAATGGATATGAGCAAGGCGTTCGACACAGTGCAGCGGGGGAGATTGGTGGAGGTAATGAAACAAATAGTTAACACAGATGAGGTACGAATGGTGGAGATGTTGTTGCACAACACAAGGCTAAGAGTGAAGATAAAGAGTGAAGAGAGAGTGAAGAGAGAGCGAGTGAAGAGAGAGCGACAATGCGTTGCCTGCGTCCCAGGATATCGCCAAGACCTGCCATACTGAATATTGGAGGGACAGCCTACACGACTGTCGATATATCCATACCTTGCGAAACAGCATACATGGACGACGTTAACCTGTACTCCACGGACCGTCAACATCTAGCGTGCGCACTAACAGAGGCAGAGGTAGTTTTCAAAGAGTGGAACCTCAACATCAACCCTACCAAGACCGAGTGGACCCATCTATACCAAGAAGAGGCTGTTGCAAGAAGAGGTGAGGAACGATGGAGGTCCACCCGGTTGCTTGGTTCACTGTACGGAGTCACAGAAGACCTCAAGCGCCGGCGCCAGCAAGCCGCAGCTGCCTTCAACACACTTGTCAACCTGTGGATGCGGAGACAAGCTATCTCTGAAGCAACCCGCCTGAGGTTGTTTGATGCATTTGTGCTATCTATTTTGACCTACAACTGTGGCGTGTGGGTGCTTTCATCCCGGGATGCTACAGCAATGGATGCGTTCCACAGAAAGCAGCTCCGCCGTCTATTAGGGATATCTTACCCGGAAATTATCACCAACACAGACCTATATACCCGCTGCAATGCCGAGCCAATATACGTACTAAGCAGAAGAGCACGGTGGAAACTGTTTGGTCATAATCTACGCCTCCCTGAAGCAACTCCAGCGCAGGTGAGCATGACAGCGTATTTCCAGCGACAGAATCGGGGCTGGCTCGGACGCCCGCGCATCACCCTACCGGTGGTGATAGACAACGAATTAGCCAAGGCAACGTCCATGCGTCTCCGGAGTCTGAAGGACCTGGAGACACTGCGTTTGGTGGCTCGGAACAGGCAATCATTCAACGATATAATCGCACAGGTCACATTGTAGAGTGCAGATCACCTAGTGCTTTCAACAATAATAACGTACTTCCACATTATGGGAATTTGGTATAACCCCACACCCGTCATTGTTGAATATTCGATAATAGCGTGGATTTCCCCAACAATATATTTTCATTTTTTGTTATCCTCTCCCATGCCGTTGTACATAAGCGGCTTGCCGCGGATATGTCAATACTACTACTAACAGTTACCATGGCTACTTGAGTTAGTACTTTGCTGGTTACGATTCTTGTTTTCTTGTTTTCTTTTTTCACTTCCGTTTTAGTTATTACATTGCATTTATATTATTTGGTGCAATATTAGCGCACCTTTCTCGCACCAAATTATTATTTTTGCTACTTGACCATGCACCCCCCCCCCCTTTTCGATGCCAGGTTGCAACGCTAACGCCGAGACCTCTGGTCGGTCGAGTTGCTCCCTGTACATCGGCACGTCGTCCCTACATCCCCTGTGTCTTGTTTTGTGTTTGTCTCCACATGTACATTGTACGTATGTCTCTTTGTAAGTAATATTGTAGGGCTGTGTTCCCAATGTAAAAAAAAACAACCCCATACGGTACGCCCCCCCCCCCCCCCCCCGATGGTGCCATGATGGTCATTGGTCACATGAGATCCGCGGAGGCACATTTTTTACTGCGACGGTGTGTAGACGTGTACCTGTGGATATGGGTCATGTAAAAGTCTACATTATACACTGATCATGTACTGTGTACATGGCGAGTAGGTAGTGCATTGCTATGTCGCGACCAAGGAGTCATACTTACATGTACATGTATGATGACTGACCCACATTACGCTGGCCGATGCTGCGACAACGACCAGGCGCGTGCGCCGTACGGGTTCCTGGGTGCCCGGAACCCCCCCTTTTTTCGCTCAAAATGCAGGATTTTGCTTCATTTTTTGAAAATTTTCCCGGGGAGGCCCCCGGAACCCCCCCCCCCCTTGAAGGGCACCGGCGCGGCGCACGCGCCTGACGACTTCGACAGGAAACCGGCCGACTGGGTCGGACTACAATACGCACACAAATTTGTCGGAAACGCGTGCGACACCACCATCCACACCAGGCAATTTTCGCTCCGATCTCTAGAATTTTCGCACGCCACAGGGTGCCCGGTAGACCAAGGTGGACCACTAACTAACTTCAAGGTCCAGCAAAGAGAGCTATGAGTATACACATACATAATTGTATTATGCTTTATACGGTTCAACACATCTACGATCATGGTCCAACATGAATTACATAATTGTGAGCTACTAGTCATCATCTCCATACACTATTAAGTCACTCTAAAATTCTGTAACCAGTTTTCATGAGGATAATATAGAGCTACAAAGTATTACACGTATGCCACAACCAGTGCGGGGCCATGACAACGCTCAAGTTTGTACAAACAAACTTGCAATCTGAGTACCTCTCGCCATGCATGATTCTCAGGCAATGCAACTTTCGGGCGTGAACATTCTTTCAGGCACGTTCTTTTCTGACGCTGTGGTCAGGAAGGCAATGCACTGGACAGCAAGTGCAAATCACCGACTAAGCTTGAAACATAGTCCACCGGTTGTGAAACTTAAAACGTATAGTAAACTTGTAAATTTGCGCAGCATACTTGTAAATTTGAACCTATGGAAATAGAATCTTCGTGGCAATATGCGGAAAATATGAAAATTTGCTTCCACCTCCATAGACACATATCTGCAAACAGCATTAGTTGTTTGATCAATAGGCTCTTCAGAGTAACTCAGTGACCTGGAATTCATCTCGAAGGGGACTAGTCTCCGTGCTTAAAACATAGTGATACCGAAGCATTGGATATAGACACGTAGCATCGACTAGCACTGCAGTTCAGCGTGGATTTTACTATATACAATTACAAGCTTGCATTGCGAAGCATCTCACTGAGTACTGTTTCTAAGGAAAATATACAAAATTTGTTCAAGCATACCTCAGCCAGCTGGAATGCCAGCAAAGATATCAAGACGGCGAGACTAAAAGACACACAACTGTAGAAAACTTCGGCAGACCCGAAAAATATTGGATTGAACCCACGCGACCGTTCAGCGGTGTCTCCAAACGCCACTCTGACAAACTCTTTGCAGGTACTTGGAAGTTCATGGCTGCTGTGGCAGCCACTTCAAGACAGACCCTGCACGGACAAAGCATACGATGCATAGAGACATTCATTGATGCTCGGAGCACTAAGCTGATGAAATTCGTATGCAGCCTTTTGTTGATGATTCTGAAACAAACTGTATAACCGTTTGATACCAACCCTTCGTTATAAAAATGTGAGGCGGTACCATGGCTACCGCGCCGAGCGTAGCAACGTGTCGGCTGAGACCACCAAGAGAAGAGGAGGAGAGGTTGTTGCATTATGAACCCTTGGTCCTTTGGAATATATAATACAACTCATTTCTCATTTTTTTTGTATTAAAATAATTTTGCATGTTGATAGCAAAAGGGCAAAATCCCCAATCGCATATAATATAGCCTTGTTCGACCTTATTTGTGAACTCTGGTCATACGTATTTAGAGTTGAACACGGCATTTCGAAACAATCTCAGTGTTAAATTTTCCGGAACACGAATATCAAGAGCACATAAGCCCACAACCTCTGTACAGTGCTGCGACGGCAGAACTTCACGTCACATGACACAGTTCAAAAGGTTACGCTGGCAAACAGTGCAAAGTGACCACAAGAGAGTTGAACCCAAAGCAGGGCAGCGTACAACCCTGCATCTATCATGCACAGAGTGCAAATAATGTGTACGGGTTCGGTACGTAATGTGAAGTTCTGCCGTTGCAGACCCCATAGCTGGAGTTGCATACTTTCGGCGGTTATGTACTCTTGCTAAAACTAATACTACGGTTACACTTTTCCAGCCATGCTGCATTTCAGACAATCTGAAGAGAACACAGGCCTAGCCCAACTAGGGTGGTGCCAGATCACCGGGTACACCAATCATGTACGGTCTTCACCACTGCATGATTCAAATAAGTTCCCATCCCTCACATTCACAGTGACAGCTCCTACCCTGAACTATGTACAACCAGATTGGACGACTTCAAACGGGATTATCCGGGGAAAAGGAGTACTGTACTGTTAGCTATAGTGGGAAGTTTTCTTATGGATTTATAACACGTTGCATGCAGAAACCACTCAGAATAGCAAAGCCAAGTGGCTGTCTATACGTTTGTATTCTCCATGCACATGTCCAGTGGTCTAAGCACATTTTTGTAGTTCTTAAACATCTTCAAACTGCACTTTACAAGCTCTTGTCCCAGCCAATCCTGTATGGAACACACTTCCCTTCGCAAGTGCACGGAAGCCTGGTGTAGGAAACATTTCGTATCCGAAATTTACCCAATACATTCACTAACATCACCTTTTAGGATTGATTAGCTAAAAATCAAATGTTAGGAATCATAGGACAGCCAGTGGACAGATACAGCATATCTCAAATTAAAACGTAGGTGAATACATGTACCGTAAAATCCCGCCAGCGCCATGCGTCCCTGCCTGACTTCTTGTCAGGGAAGTGATTGATTGTATCCTCGTATGACTCTGTGATGCCGTACTGTGCTGCAGACGCGTGCTCGACCCGGTTGGAAATGTACGCAACAGTGCCCACCCTCATGACCTGGGATCGCACAAACCTTGAGTTTTGATGGGTCTGTACGAATCCTGGCTCTTGACCTTTGGTAGGTGTACCCCGGTGATGCACGGACAGTTTTTGTAGGGTAGGTACTTTTTCATGTAGTACTCAATGCGGTAAATAGGACTCGCCATCTGCCCCTCCCCACCTGGACCTACTCGAAGGGTGGCGGAGGTAGGGGCGCTCTGGTGGGGATGTTACGATATTAGCAACACTTATCTGGTGGGTACACCTTACTCTCCCCACCACCACCTTCCAAGCAGCCAAGCGGGCAAGTGCATGTTAAAGTTACCATCAACTTACGGAAACTTCCAGCAGCTTCTTCTTCAGTAGATCAGCTAGCTCCTGGTGAGCCAACTTCTCACTCTCTTTCAGAGCGGACACAAACTGGCGAAAAGCCTGTTTGCCACAGCCTGGCAGTGCTTCCAAGAGGACAGATGCCTGTACAGAACAACATTACAAACACACAAACACACACACAGTGTTTTCTTGAAAAAGACACCCATACACACAGTATTTTCTTGATAAGCAGCTTTTAAAAACTAGAATTGTAGAACAACTGGCTTTGCCTGCTGCTGATGCCATCCGTAAGCTGTACTGATGCAGGCTTGCAGCTGTAATGCTATTTTCTACTATATACTATATTTTACCTTTTTTTCCATTTACTCAATTGCATTACTTGACTATGTTCTCATTGACAAATCGCTAAATTAGACGTATCGGTAGAAGTATCGGTAGATGTCACCGTACGTCGTGATAAATAATCTGCGTGCGGCTTACACTCCAGTACGGCTTATACTTCAGAAATTAAGGTACTTCACGTAAGTGATAGAGTCCTTCTCGAGTGTGTGTGTGTGTGTGTGTGTGTGTGCGTGTGTGTGTGGGGGGGGGGGGGGAATGAAAAATAGGGATTCACTGGCCAGAAAAAGCCACTTCAATCAGCTGTGTGGTGAATACCAGGCTAAAAATTAGTGGCAGTCAATTAATCAGCCTTGCAAGCTGTTGAATGGTGTAAATGCCAGCACAAGTTGCTATGTCTAACATAGCTGTTTGCTATCATCGCTTCCGCTATGGGCATGTCTGAGGTCTGAGGTGTGTGTGTGTGTGTGTACATGTGGAAGAATACAATGGACCTACAATCCATTTTGGTGACTGTTTCTCGGTTGTCACTTTTCAGTTCCGCAGTAACTGTTCTTGTTCTGAAATCAAAAAGTGTAGTTCAGTTTGATTCTTCATCTCACCAATCTCATTTGTACATCTAACTATCCTAATTCTGGTCATTGCTGTGGTGGTGGTGGTGGTGTAAGGAAAGAAGGGTAGCTAGTTTACATGTGCAGGCTACAGCTAGCTTCACATCGACATTGCTTGCAAGTTGCTACCTCTTTCGGAAATTCCAATAGACTTAGGCAGGGGATTTCACCTGAATAAATGAGTCTCAATTTGACATTCACAAAAATGTCAAATTAATCCTGGGTTCACTGTACAATACACATAGATCATCGGTGTTGCCATGGTTACCTGGTCTTCACGATCATCCATAGCACGGAGTTTCTTGCAGAAGCGTTGGGTAATGATGCTCTCTGCATAGAGACAGTCCAGAATGCCCTCTTCTACGTCCAAACTGCACTTCAATTCCACATAGCTTGAACGCAGCACTTCCTGGTGAAGCTCAGACATCTACAGTGGACATGAAGATAGATTGATAGGAAATACTCTGTATTAAGAAAAGCCTGCGGGGAATCTCACTTAGCAGCACATCTGATATCCAGAAAGAGGCTTCTCGTATAGTATATATAGTATACAGGAATCTCACACGTTTGTATGTATTGTGATGTATGGCCTGTGCCTCAATACGATAGGATTCCAAACACAGGTGTTGCTGCTTCTTATTGCACTGGTTGATAGGGTAGGCTTCACTGTACAATCACTAAACAGAGTCTGTAGAGACCAGAGTTCTTACCCCAGTCTCAAGTTCTTACCCCAGTCTCAAGTTGACTACTCTTGACATTACCAGTCTGGGAGGCATCAACACTAGTCTGCATGGACAGTGTCTTGTCACTGGAACACACTGATACAGGATGCAGGTCATTGCGATGTAGTGAACACTTTCCAGGACCAGGACACACACGGAATGTCTCCACGAGCTGTGACAGACCTTGCGACGGCAGGATATCCTCCACAAAGAAGCACATTCCGTAATCGGAGAGCTTCTCCAGAAGAGCGCACATGTGATCTAGAGTCTCATCTTGCCCTGCTGATTTCAGTAGGGTTCTGGTTTCCATGACAATATCCGTACTGAGGTGACCCTCCGCACGCAAACTCTTGACACAGTCCATCACATTGATAGCTAAGGTACTCTGTATTGCAGCATAATGCTTGCACAGTACTTGCTGGTAGGCTGTAGCTCTCTTTGACACAGCGGGCTTCTGGGCAGTTGCTGCAACTTCTGCAAGTCAAAGAACAATGTGGCACAAACGGTCAAGCAGTGAGTGGAGAACACTACAAACGTACCATTCACTCCTCTCCATTTCTCTTTAGTAAGAACACTGCTCCAGAACAATACGGGTATCGTCTTCAGTGCCCTTCAGCCCTACAAAAGTACAATACTTTCAGTTCACAAATCTGGCATCCTCACACAACTCACCCACATCTTATGGGCCAGGAACAGCAAGTTCACACCTTCCGGTGACTCCAATTATTATGAAAAAAGACTATTGTTGACACTGGTCGATAAGTGAGCACTTAGAAGTGAAGATAAAGAAACCATATCAATATTTTTGTTTTTCTAGTTGGTCCTTATCATTGCAGCAAGTTTTGACCTGACAAGCGCTTGTAGAGCTACTAGGCTGTGATACTGGTGGGAAACAGTACCCGGTTTGTTCGGCCAGAACTCCAAGTTCAGCCCGAGCTCCATGGCACTATAGATCAATTGCGGACGGCAGCATTGTCGATATATATTTTTAACATGCCAATATTTTCGGCTGCAGCATTTCACCTGGATCACGATGACACGGTTCAAATCGGCGAATTCCCAATTCCGTCCTTGGCTCCCTGAACACTCGTCCCCTGCACGCACTCTGCATTCTAGTGATCCCGCGCAAAAGACTTCCCGTGTATCCTTTTCTCTTCAATCACCCTGTACTCCAATGACCCTGTACACATGCCATACTGTCTTCAATTACAGACTGTTTTGAAAACAAGCCCGCTGATTTTCAAGGTGAGCTATCGGCATGCAAGCCTGCGTTTACTGTGGACATACATATAAACTACCTAATTCCAGGTTTCAATACCAACCTGAGCTGAGCAGAAGCCCAGCGCAAACACGCGCGTTTCTATAGGAATAATCCCAGACTTATATACTGCCTTCGCACCCGATATTATGGTCAATTCCAGTGTGTCCTTCCCTGCGTGAACCCTGCACTCTAGTGGCCAGGGATAGGCAGGTTATTGTAGCTTCTCGTGTCTCGTTTTCCAGCCTGCATTCCCGTATTCCACAGTGAATGTTCAATGAAATCTGATCAAGTGAGGCAAGTAAGTAGTCATCGCACTGCACCAGGTCACAAACCATTGTTTGCAGGTCTAGGGTTGCACAGCGCCAGGCATGTACTTGATTCACAAGATTGGATTTCATTGAGCAGCACTAGCACTGTACTTTCCAGGATATACTTATTTTAAACTGCACACTATACTGAAATCATCTCACCACTGTCCTTGACTGCGGGCTCCACTACTGTCATTGGCTTTTCTGGCATTGGTTTCTCAGGATCAGCAAGCTCTGGGGTCTGGAGAGAATCAACGAAACAAAGCAATGTGGTAATCAGACAAAAGATTCATTTATACCAGCCAATCACCCATCCCTTTACTATAGACGAGTACAGGACAGAAAATGATGAAGTCAGAACTCAACAGATAACCAGATAACGGCTTCTAGGGGATCTACTCCGATAGTATAGCAAAGTACATATCTGGCAGGTAGGCCCTCATTGTGTCAAGTGCAGGTGTACTGAATTGGATTCAGTGACAGAAGTTCAAGTGGTCCCCAATACTGGGGGTTGGGAGCAGTCCAGTTAGTATGGGTAGATTTGTCACCTTACGGAGAAGGAAACAACTCAAACGTGCATGGATCCATACAAAACTAGATACAATAGGATCCTAACTTCAGCGCTGTCATGACCCTGGCCTGACTGCGGTATAGCACTTGCAAGCCCTATTGCATTTGTCCACATCAACTCCTTATGTTTCTATTGCTATTGTCTTCCAAGTGCAAAATATACTTCTACTCATTCCGGGAATCAAGCACTACTGAAAAACGGGAAAATTTCGGAGCAGATTGATTTTCGGTAACTTCAGTCCAGGTAATTATTACTTAAAATAAACTGAGAACTAAAATTCAACAATCCCATGCAACACCGAAAATATTACACAACCGAAAAAATTCCCGGCTTTACACTATGGAGAAATGAGATCAGGGGAAATCTTTTCTCAAAGATTTCAGTTTGATGGACTTGTCGACATGGTTAGACAAAAATTATAACATAATAATAATAATGTGTACGTGCTTGCCAGTGTCTCTCGTCACAAGGTGGTTGTCATGGAAACAGCAAACCCTGAGCCAGCGAGTGCATGCTGTACTGTGCAATATTGCCTACACTGGTTCGGGTTAGAGTTCAGAGTGCTTGGTGCTAGAGTTGGTAAATTCAGAAACATTTCCAGCCCAGGGCAACTGAAAATCAGAACTTGCCCTCACAGTCCTCACAGTTGCACCATTCTAACATGGACTGGCCTTGTACATACTCTCGAGTGGACCAGACCATACACCCAAAGCACGGGGAAAATATATTTCGGAAAACTGAAAATGACCTATAATTATTTTACCTGTGTGTCTTCGGCAAAGCATGGCCAGTATTGCCGTACATCACTGATATCCACTTCTGGACGTGATCCACTAGGACAACGTGGACGCGATCCCTCCACCAATGGAGCAAAGTGTTGACACCCAATCTCCTCACAAGACTTCTGCTTGTGTTTGCGACACGCATCTCGGCTGAACGAGCATGGACAGCGAATAGCCCTGCCAAACTTCACGTGAGTCAGGGAGAATGCCTTCAGCTTGTCAAGCTCCGACTCCAGGTACGGTAGAAGCTCGTGACAAATCTTGACTGCAGCCGACTCATCCTTGCTTGCTGCAGTACCAACGCCAGCAGAGCCAACTGACTTATCCGTGCGAGTACCAGCATTGGTAGTAGAAGACTTAGCTGTGCCAGCTGCGACAGGAATCTCAAGTGACAGGCGAATGCCATGCTGGAAATACTGCATGACCAGCCAGAAGCGATCCTTCGCCAGAATACGTGCTGACGTGTGATAGAGGATTGGATCCACCTTTGGACTGTAGCGTTGCATACACCTCACAACACCACACCAGAACAGGGTTTGTGGAAAGTAACGATCTGCACCACTGTACAGGTACATAGCTGGACTTGGCTTGCCTTTGCTCGCTTCATCTTGAAGACGTGCAACTCGCTCCACCAGAGCTGGCACAAAGAACTTGCGAGTCGTCACCTCCTTCCTCTGACCAGGCACGCTCACAGTTGTCTTGGTGTTGTAGAACAGGGCAAAGTGTTCACCCATCTCAAACAGGAAATCACGCTGTTCTTCTGTGGCCGTGTAGCGCGATGTCATACGATTGTGCTGTGACCAGCGGTGGATGGCAAGGCTTTCCAGGAGGATGCCATTCTGTGTCAGCAAGTCGTACTGTGGACGCAGACGCTTGCTCTGCATACTCTTCGGTTCAGGACAAAAGAGAAGTGACATGGTTTTCAGAACCCAGTGGATGTCGATGATGACACGATCACGAAGACGGGCATTGTGAACAAAGTGAAGCAAATGACCAAGACCATGGTGGAACTTCACCATCTCCTGGAAATCGGACTCCGGATCCTCACTGGAGATGCTACCAACAGCAATGGCCAAGCGACGTAGCTCGTCAACAGATAACCATGGTCGTTCGAATGATTTTGCAATGTGCCCAATGGAGATGGTTACAGGAAGCCAACGAAGTGGTATTGGAACATTGAACTGATGCTGCAGCTGCTGGATGATGTCGTGACGTAGCTGAACAACTGCTGGGTCTTCCGGATCTTTGCCAGCTCGTGTGTTGTCCACAAATACTACCTTGTCGATGTTGTTAGCATAAGCTTTACCCTCCGCATTGGCCCAGATATACTGCTCAGTCTCTTCAATTGCCTTCTTCCTTGCTTCTGGCTTCTTTGTTAACTTGTCCACATGTGTGCCAATGGCAAACACGGGTACGTTGTCGCTGTCTCCAATGACCTCGTGGATAGCGTTGAACCATGTCTCCATGACGTCGAAGTTGGTCTGCTCCAGGCTGTTGGAAAGCGGCAGTTCCTCACCGTCTACACCAAACGTCGGCTTCGCTCTGGCCTGGAGCTCTTTTGAGGCGTCGAACACAACAGCATATGCACATCGATCACAGGCCAGGACCATGTGTTGGATCGCTGCAAACAGCTTCTGACCAGCAAAGTCCCAGACATCTATGAATGTCAGGTTTTTCAGATGCTCTGCAGTGAAAACTTCACTTTTGCCTTTCTTCAGATCTTCAATGAAGCCTTCAAACTTCTGCGTGGCTGAGTTGATTTCTTTCTGTAGCTGCTGCACATCTTGCTCTGCTGTTGCTATCTGTTGTCCACTCATGGTTGAGACCTCCTCCGGCTTGGATGCAGTGGAAACATTCTGAGAGTCCATGGTTTCAGATGAACTGGTAGCCGATTGAGCACAGTACTCGGTGTGGGTGGCTTCATCGCGTTGGCTGATAGCAGATTCACTCACACTGGCTGTTTTTGCTAGCCCAGTCTCAATCACAGCGGATGGTGATGTTGCAGGAGTTGACGGCATGGAAGATGTGGAACTGGTGTTCTGTGGGATCTCCAAACCTTGTTGTCTCAGTGCTGCTATTATCTCTTTCTTCCTTTGCTCTTGTCCAACAGCTCTGTGTGTCAGGGCCAACTGCTGCTGGTAAGAATCTTCAGCTTGCTTCCACACATACTGTAACCCTTGTTTCTCGATGGTGCAGATCACCTTCTCCAGCTCCACACCTATTGTGCTGTCGACTTGGGACATGAACGCTTGACGCAGGAGGGACCGTAGAAAGCTGCTCTTTCCTGTGCGGCCCGGCCCGCATATTATCAGGCGTCCGTACGGTATCAGCTGGACACCTTCCTTGATCAGTTCACTTAGAGCTGCTGCGTACTGGCCATTATCAGCTGCACAATACACATACACCAGAACAAAGCACAATACATGTGATGTAGGTATGAGGAAGAAGTTATTGAAGAAAATTGGAAGGACACGTTCAGGATGAATTGGGTCTAGCTAGCCTACGACACAGAGATAACTCCCATTTCAGCACCAGAATTTCAACATGAACAGTTTAGCATGACCATTTGAGCATGAGTATTTCAGTGGAATGTAACTGACTGCTGTGAATTTGAGCAAATTAATAATTGGCTTAGAAGGGGATAGTATTGAATCTCGTGAAGTTGCATCACATTATCTGCACGCTACGTATCTGTGGTCATGCACTGAGTGACAGTGCAAAACATTTCCATAGCACTTCTTATCCTAGCACTGTTCAAGCCAGTGTCTGCCAATCATGTGACACGTCTACTGAAATCACATGCTCTGCGACATTTCTCATGTCTATAATTTGATTATGTGGGGCATTACTCCCGTTCATACTGCCATTGATTCACAAAAACAGAAAACTAAGTAAGTCAAGCAGACAGTTCTTTCGCAGCTCCAGTTACAATGCAAAGACCGTCTTCTTGCCGACGCAACATGTCAGTGTGTGTGTGTGTGTATGTGTGCGCGCGCCACGGGGTGGCCAAAGGCCACCCCGGTTGGCTACAGTGTCAGAACAACTCTTGGAAACTCAGGCGTCATGTCCAGGGGCAGAGATTGACACTGCCACTTGTCGTCTGACAAGGGTTGCCACTCGTCGCGGTGTGACGAGTCCGCGAGTGGGTCACAGTCTGCCAAGAAATCTGTCCATAGAAGAGTGGAGAGGGAGGGAGATGTGTCCTCATGGCTGTTTTTTCAACGCTTGGCCTATCGCTGATATCCCTGCGTGGGATGTTCTTCCAGTGGAGACCAGGTGGGACTTCGGGTGTCCACACTCCATCACCTGGTTGATTGTTTTGGAACTGCAATAATGCAGGTTCAAATAGTTATTGTTTCCTTTTTGTGCGTATCTCTTGTCATCTCTCTTTTCTATACGTCGCACACCAGATGTACTACTTTCGCTGTCTTTCTCCTGCTATCTCTCTCTGCTTGCTGTTTTTGTTTTTGTTGCCATTGTCCCTCATCATACCCATGCTTGGGTGGAGGGCGGCGTGACCCGTTAGGGTAGCTGTCAATACAGTACGCAATCGTGGGCGGCGTCGTGGCGGAGCGGCTTCCTGGTGGCAGTGCTGACTTCTCTTGGGCTCTCTCTTCTACTCTCCCCTGTCTCAGGGGCGGCGTGGCCAAGCATTTGGCAGCTGTACACCAGGCCAGGTGTGTGTGTGTGTGTGTGTGTGAGAGAGAGAGAGAGAGTGTGTGTGTGTGTGTGTGTGTGTGTGTGTGTGTGTGTGTGTGTGTGTGTGTGTGTGTGTGTGTGTGTATGTGTGTGTGTGTGAGTGTGTGTGTGTGTGTGTGAGCTGACGACATACATGTACATCTAGACTACCATGTTTACATGGACACTCCAGCAACAGTCAATGTAACTACATAGCACATAGCACCCAGCACTAAATACAACTACCTGGTACTCGGTATGCTAGTCTACTTGCAGAAACTGTGGGTTCAGACAGAACAGTACCAGTAAAGGGCGCATATGCTTACCCTGGTCTACTCCAAGTCAACTCCGTGAATTATGTGTACAGTGTATGTAGGAGTGCATGATCCTATGAAAATTTCACCGCTATTTTGGATGAATTGGGCAGACCTTGTAGGAACACATTGGTCTTACCAGTCATAAAGTGTGTGATGCCCCTGAGTGTGGCACATAACATTTAATAACAATGATCACTGTAGATTCAGGGTGTGCTAACTTAACCGCGTGCTTTTCTGTCTCGCTGGGATTTTTTGCGCTGACCTTTTGGGCACTCGTTTCCACGGCACTATAATTCGCAGTGGGATTTACTGTCATGCTGAGATGTTCCTCGCAAACTCTGTAGGCACTCACTTTCGCCGCGCTGAGAAAGGTAGACCTAATGTACAGGACTCTGTAAAGCTTGCGTTGGAATATTAGCGCTGTAAAGCTCGTGCTGACAAACTTTGAGCATCTATTTCCCTCAATTTGGGATGACCACCACATGTACAACACTAACCTTCAACAGCATCTCCCGGTCCTTCTCTCACTGCAATCACATCTTCATCATTCACCACTGATATCACGGTACCTTCTGTAAGAAAATGAGATCAGAAGAATCACAAACAAATCTCAGGAGTATTGTGTTGATAAAAAAATATTTAAAAAATTCTACGGGTTCGCGTACCGGGCAGGTCAAGAACAAGGAGTCGTACAACTCCCTGGTCAAGAACCACCTTTCCGCTTATTGTGTTGATAGCTGGTTAATAAAGTTAAGGAAATCGACATTATGACATTACTAAACAATAATATGCTGGTGATTTCCACAAACAAGACAGGCAGGTTTTAGCCTACTTTACTATGCTATGAAATAGAGTTTGCGACCAAGGTGCTCTTTTTTATCAGAATGTGGGTTACTTCCCACACTGAAGCTCACGTTTTTCCTGCCGACTTTGAAGGACCTCTTGAGTGCTCTGGTTGGTGGTCGTGAGTCAGTCAAGTGTCATGTCAAGTCACGGGGAAAGCGCCATTAAGTATGGACGATTTCAACAGATGGTGAGCCACGGAAAAAAATTATAACAAGGAAAAATGTGGGCACGAGTTATGCGATCAAGTCCACAAACTAAACCAGATGTTGAACAGTCAGACGTGCACAATCTAGCAATCAAGTCTCAGTACGTCTCGTCATGTTTGTGCTAGACTGTGCTCGTCTCACTGTTCAAAATCATCGGGTTTAGTTGGTGGACTCGATCGCATAACTTGTGCCCACATTTTTCCATGCTACGATTTCAACAGAATTCCTTATTTTCGTTATTACGGAAACTAAGGCCAGAACATAGTTAAATAACTTTTATAAACTAACTATACAAGTTGGAACACTACACAAAATAACTCTCCTCCTCCATATCAGTATCACCTTCCCTGACGAGCCTTTGATATGCGAAACAGCTGTCAGAAGGAAATGTTTTACCCGTGACCCCTTCGCTGTTTGAAGGTATTGGTGTGACTAATAGCTACCGAGGGTAGCAATGGTCAGTTTTATAGCGCATGGAGGAAGACAGTTAGTTTGTTGTATTTTTCAAAAGTCAAATGGTACCGTTCACAGTGTTTATTGAAATTGGAGAACGGTGTACTAAAGGAAATTAACACACAGCTGAACTATTAAAGAAAAAAAAAGTAAGAGATACTAACAGCTATAACACTGAACAGCACTGAAATAATACAAGTGTCACATTGAAGGCGTGGCCAAACCCAAATGCATGGGCTAACAAGATTTAATGAAAAAGGACGAAGTGCTAATATAAACAGCACTACATAGAATACTAACGGCCAAGCTTAGCCACACCAAACACCACATGTCACTTCAACAATTTCAACGCAATAATACTATCCTTTTGTACGCACAAATTCGGCTTGTAAAGACGCTGATAAATAGCTTCCAACACATTTAACTGAAGTCTATAACCATGACGACCACAGCACAATACAGTAAAACAATGATGAGAATAGAAATTGCGACAATCAGGACTAGCTACAAGATGATTGTACACAGAAGAATAGTTCTACTACAATAACTTACGTACAGCAGTACGACTCTCACAGCAAATCTCACGTCCACTCTATTCCTTGCTGCTTGACTCTCCGCATTCACCACCATCCGTTTCCTCATCTGTTCCATCGTCCGATTCATCTGCAGGCTCCAATTCTACTCCATCCCTCTTGACCTGATCCACTTCGCTTGGCTTGGCCATCACACTCCTGTCTGGTCCCTCCACTCACCCTTGTCCGTTACATATGTAGCTCCTGTTGTAATTTGCTGTTGATCGTCTTGGTCTGTCAATTGTTGCATTGCATGTTTTTTAGTTGTGGGTTGCGTTATTGGAACTGACGACACACCAGGTAGGTCAGTTTGGGCTGTTGATTGTAGTATTTGTGGTGGTGTTGGTGGTGGTGGTATCTTGCAAGGCCGGTCACGGGCGCACTTCACCGCAGCCGTTCCCGAAGGCGGAGGATTGAGGGGAGGCAATGGCACCGGGAACGCAAGTGGCACAACTTCAGCCAGAGCCCCCAGAGGAAATGGCGAAGGGTCCGCCGAGGGCAGCAGGCTAGGAGGTGACACAGGCCCACCATGTGACACGCCGCGCCCCCCCCTCCCCCACCGTCACCGACGGCAGCAACTGCGGAGCAAGCACCGCCGATGAGCACGGATCAACGGGTTGTGTAGGTGTTGGTTGTGTAGATAATGGTTGCTTCCTGGGAGGGCCCCGTTTCGGTTGTTGCTGTTGTGCACTAGGTGGAAGTATGTGACGTTATGTGGTGTCTGTTTGATGCGTTCAGTACTTCAACCTAGCGCAGAACAGCAACAACCGAAACGGGGCCGACCCAGAAAGCAACCATTGTTTACACAACCATCACCTACACAACCCGTTGATCCGGTGATTGCTCCGCAGTTGCTGGCGTGGCGTGTCACAGGGTGGGCGTGTGTCACTTCCTTGCCTGCTGCCCCTGGTGGACCCTTCGCCATTGCCTCTGGGGGCTCTGGCTGAGGTGGTGCCACTTGCGTTCCCTGTGCCATTGCCTCCCCTCAATCCTCCGCCTTCGGGGACGGCGGCGGTGAAGCGTGCCCGTGACCGGCCTTGCAAGGTACCACCACCACCAACAACAACACCACAAACACTACAATCAACAACCCAAACTGACCTACCTGGTGTGTCGTCAGTTCCAACAACGCAACCCACAACAACCACAACTAAGACACCATGCAATGCAATAATCGACAGACCAAGACGATCAACTGCAAAATACAACAGAAGCTACACATCTAACGGACAAGGGCGAGTGGAAGGACCAGACAGGAGTGTGAAGTGAAGTGGATCAGTTCAAGAGGGATGGAGTAGAATTGGAGCCTGCAGATAAATCGGACGATGGAACAGATGAGGAAACGGATGGTGGTGAATGCGGAGAGTCAAGCAGCAAGGAATAGAGTGGACGTGAGATTTGCTGTGAGAGTCGTACTGCTGTACGTAAGTTATTGTAGTAGAACTATTCTTCTGTGTACAATCATCTTGTAGCTAGTCCTGATTGTCGCAATTTCTATTCTCATCATTGTTTTACTGTATTGTGCTGTATTGTGCCGTTTTATTGCACATTGTCTCCACAGTTTTACATTACATGAATACAGTGTACACAAATGTCGATCCAGCTAGTATTACTGATTGCGGTTACAGCAAATGTTAGTTAGAACATTTTGTAAGTAAAAGACAACTGTATTTTCACATCAACTTCACACGGCTGGTATCTACACTAAGACAAAAACCATCATGATCCATTGACTAGGATTCATTATCATGGACATTCTTTAACTTGCATCGCAGTCTTCAAATTGTCACTTACCATCGCTCTGTGAATCAATAGCCCAATTCAACAGTTGGACAAGACTACTCCCATCACATCCTGCCTCACGGTCGATCCTGATCCGGAATTCTTGTCCCAGTCGTTGAGTGAGCTCAGGGCGGTGCAAGTAATAAAAGAGAAACAGAAAGCAGTACACTGGGTACAGTAAAGACGCCCCAATTGCCGATTGACAGCAAAGTGGAAGATCGCGCACATGACCAGCCATCTCCAATGCTGTTCGATAATTGCCGATGCCCACTTCATCCAGGCTGACTTGTTCGAATAGTTCAGTGAGCACTATATCTGGTACAGTCGATAGGCTGCTGATGATGCGTGGTAAGTTGCTCTTGCAAACCCTTGTGAAAAAATCTACAGGTAACAAATATCACACAAGAAAAACAATAATACAATGATCTAACCATTATGCCTGGTCCAATAGTTGTTGGGTGTGCATGTGGTATGGACAGCAACTAATTTTAATTCTCCTAGCTATGCAAAAGACGTTACTTCAGTAACGTCTCGCGCTAGCCAGGGTCCACACCGCTTTATTTAATCGGTTGTGGCGACAAACGCGATTAGGCCGGCTGCAGATACGCCGTAATGTCGCGCTCGCCCCAGCACCATTCAAACAATTCCCTTTGGCAGTTCACGGCACGAACTTCAACAAAGCCCCGTGAATGCGTACCAGGGGAAGGCTAGACAGCATGTCTCTAGACATCAATAGGCATCGTATGAAAAGGCAGTCAATAGAACTAAAGAGCGAAAGCCTTTGTCACGGTTCGGTTTCACTCGCGCACCGGGCCCGAGCTGGCAGCACAAACAAACGCCGTACTCACACGAGACCGTTGGGCCAACGGATGACCACAGCCATCAAAAACAGGAACAAACCCATCCACGGCTCTTTCTCTTGCTAGCTGTGCTGCTGCGTGCATCCAACTGTTTTGCAATTTCTCCCTCCCACCTACGCCTCCTGGTATTAATTATCGCTCTACACTATCCTACGTCTCGCAATGAGTGCCACTCAGCATGATGGTACTCCAAGTTACATTGTATTTGATCTGTCCTAGCTCACTATTCTGGACAAAATATTAATTCAATTGCAATGAAGCGCCGGGGGCCGGCGGGGGCATTCGACGGCTTGGTCTGATTCCTAGCTTGTTGGTAACCGGCTTGAGATTTCCAAGGTTGCTATGACAACGTGCAGTCATGCGCAAGGCCACCCAACATGCATTTGGGGGCCAGGAAAGACAGAAACACGTTGCTAGGCAACAGCAAAAGTGCTCGGCGAGTATCACGCTACTAATGCAGCACGCACGTTGGCTTAGGGTATCACGCTACCCTTGCGCTGCGGGGTACCACATTGCCCCTCGCTGGAATCAGACCCGCGCCCCGGATACCTTGCGCTGGCCTCCTGACGGCCAAACTCAACCTACTTGTGCGCTGTGACTGGGGTTGTGCATGTATTAGCAACATAATGTGGCCCAGGTCGGCAGACTTTCAATTAGCCAAGCGAGCTACTCAGGCCAGGGTGCATGATCACTATTCGCAGCACTTATCATCCATGCAGCAGTCGGGTTAATGTATATGTGTGTGTGTGTGTGTGTGTGTGTGTGTGTATGTGTGTGTGTGTGAGTGTGTGTGTGTGTGTATGTGTGTGTGTGTGTGTGTGTGTGTGTGTATGTGTGTGTGTGTGTGTGTGTGTATGTGTGTGTGTGTGTGTGTGTGTGTGTGTGTGTGTGTGTATGTGTGTGTGTGTGTGTGTGTGTGTGTGTGTGTGTGTGTGTGTGTGTGTGTGTGTGTGTGTGTGTGTGTGTGTGTGTGTGTGTGGCTGGTTGGTAAAGTAACTCCAAAATTTCACTTCAAGGTACCAGTGCATCTAGTGTCTGCTTCTATCAAAGCAGCGTGCTGTCTATACTGGTTACCTCAGCAAGTGTAGGGTGTGCATAGGTAACTGTCTTGGGATGTACTCCGTGTGGTGTAGACCAGGTGTGCATTGGTGGTCGATTCACATGGCTTCGCCAGTTGTGTGGATAGGACAGTTATCTGGCGCAAGTCTTGATCTGTTTCATTCAGGTCTTGTTCGCTATCGTTGCTATAAGAGAAAATCTGTGGATGCACATCCAGTGCATTAGCAGATTTGCGTGCTTCTCTTGCGACGGGCAGGTACATGGTGGTGGTGGTGTGTGTGTATGTGTGTTTCTGGCGTCAAGTTTTCATCACGTGAAGCGACATGCCTTGCGCGCTATCTCGTACCGTACCGTTAAAGAAAGCTGGCCATATATTCAAATAATGCTTTCGACGGCAGGACCACAACATGAAGCAACTTGGTAGAGTGTGAATGCATGCAAAGTTTATCAAGGGAATGCATGCACGGCAATAGTGCGAGTTTGAATCCCATGTTAGGCTACACCAAGTTATTTCTATGTTTCGCGTTACTGCGCGCGTACCTTTTCGAATTCTTGACAACAAAAAAGAACCGAGACAAATCAATCGATGGCTGTTCTGAGGAACATTCTCTAGCCTGTATCGCAGACCAGAGGTTATCAGCTTCTCCATAATATTGCATTCCAGGCGATGGTACGTAGGTGCGAGCGATGACAGTTTCTATTTTTCCAAGCTGTACTACTAGTAGGGCCTGCTCACCAAACGAGCGGAGATTCCAGGTGTGAAGGACTTTCCACGATCGTGATGGAGCGGAATTCCACTCGATTCATGTCAAAGTGCAGAAGGAGTCATCCATGAAATGTGTTATTGTATCGCTCCAGCCCAGTCTGCCAGCTGCCCTGTGGCAACTTACTTGTTGTCGTTTCGGATTTAGTGATAGTTTAGTAGTGGTATTCTGTGTGCAACATGGCTCAGTACACATAGAATGGAGTTTTGTTTTTTCCTCTGTTTTTCGTTTGTTTTTTTCGCCCGCCCGCGTGCCTTTTCCAGAAAATATCCGACGCGAAACATAGAATTAACTTGGTGTGGCCATGTGTGTCAAAAAGAATAGAAAACAACGAGAATTATTATAAAAGCTAGCACCACAATGTGATATGAAAGCCCAGGAGCTCTCGCTAGGCTTTGTTTTGCCTAGGTCATTAAGTGTGTTATTCACACTGATAGAAAAATCTTTTAAATGCAAAAACATAATACTAGTAGCCGACAATCGTAATGCAAAGACGTTTCTATCAGTTTGAATACCATACATGATGACCTAGGTATAACTTATAGTAAAACCTGGTTTAAGCGACCTCTGGTTTTAGTGACCACCTGCTTTTAACGACCATTTTTCCATGCACGGACAGTTCTACACAGAATCTACACCGGACACAGCGACCACCTGCCTTGTGCGACCAGCGACCGACTTTTAGTGTATTGCTATTAGTGTATGAAGTGCGCTATTGGACCTGCACATAGCGACCAAAAACTAGACAAGTGTTCTGGCATATTTAGTAATATGCTCTCTGGCAGGATTCACTGCAACAGGGTTGAAGTGGGCTTAGAAACTGGGCATTGTATTGCAGTCAACAGAAGTGACACGTGACATTACAGGGTGCGCTGCATGCACTTAGATGAGGTGGGAAACTCATGGGTGCTGTACCTGCACGAAACGTTCTATGCTCCATACCTGTCAATATGAGCATAATCATGGAAGTATTATGGGGGGGGGGGGGATCCGATATGTCGCCAATGCATGGGACCTGGTTCTAAAGGCCATTTGGCTTAAACGACCGCTCTTGCCTGCACCGTGGGGTGGTTGCTTAACAGGTTTTACTGTAATAACAAAGTATAGTGAGGGCTCCTGGGCTTTCAAGCCTCCTCGTATCTTTCCTCACAAGCATACACAGGTACAACAGGTACTGAACACAAGAGTATTTTTTATGTGTTTCAATTGTATTGGTCTCATATTTTTAAAGTTGCACAACAGTCAAGCAGATCATCCGAGAAGGACAGGTTGATATGCTGACTTTTAAATTTGCCACCTTGAAACGACTACAAGAATGGCTAACGGGTCTCACCTCTAGCTTCAATTTAGGAAAATTTAGGACGAGCCTTGGTTTGAAATTTTGGCAAAGTCTGGCTCCCGGCACCGGCGCGAACGGTTCACACACCACTTTTGGTCAGAATTGTACGGGATCGGTGCGGGTGCAGATCGCTGCAAATCGCAAGAGTTGGGCACTGCCCAACCTTGCCGGCGGTCCCTTGCGATTATTTACGGTATGATTTTGTTACGACTGCACTGGTTCACATGATCGTAATGCGCCGGGAGAGGTTGCAAGAGGCCCACCGCCGGTGACTCCCGGCACATACCGGCGATATGTGAACCAACCCTAACATGCGCAATTATGCTACAAGTATGATATTCATATGGTACTGCAAGTCGGCAAATTAGTCCACAAATTTCGGCCCGTTCAAATTTCGGCCTCCCAGGGCTAAAACCCATTTCGACCGCATCAAATTTTCGGCCTGTACTGTGCCGCCTGTATACACTGTCACACTGAACCTTGCAGAACAAAATTTAGGCCGCAACAAACATGACCAGGCCGAAGATAGCCGAAAATATATGCCAGTGCAGGTGGTATCCTGATAATTCGAATATGGCTTAATTCGAACATACTGCTTAATTAGAAGTTTTTCCAGGACCGATTTCTATCTATACGATTCCCACATAACACTATCTGATAATTCGAACCTCGAACTGGATATGTCCGGTTAATTAGAAGTCCCACGGATTCCACTTACATAGAAAAATGTGTGGGGTTTGTGCTGATAATTCGAAGTTAGCAAAGTGTAATTCGAAGTTCACTGTACACTGTACTGGTCAGTTATGTTTGTATGAGCAGGCTATGCCGGTCAGTTCAGTATCTATGAAATCTGTGTATAAGGTCCATAGCGCAACCCTGCGTGACCATGACTCGGAGCATTTTGACATACATGTTTGGGTTCATGTTTGGCCAATTAGAATGTGCGGACCATTAGAAGTTTTTTTCCTGGCATTTTGAGATTCGAATTATCAGGATTCCACCTGTATGCGCTGAATATGTTTGACTTACAGTATAGAGAACACTATAGGATCACCACTGTGATCTCTAGGTCGTACTTCCCACTTCTTTGCCTGAAACAATTATTCGGAATCTCCATCAACTTTAGAACAGTACACATACATGCTCCAGTGGTTCTTGTCTTCCAATACCTCTTCTCATAACATAGTAACACTCATGAGACTACAAGATAGTCTTCTGAGAGTGCTTAGGGAAAATATTGGGTTACCAGAGCAGCTAACAAGTGTAGTGGTGCAGTGCCATGGCTACTTCTAGTATGAAGTACATACATGTATGCATTTTACATACAAACTAACCAACAAAATGACAAGCAAATTATTGTTTACTCCCCTGCCAAACTGCCAAGGTGTTAGAACTAACTTTATGGGACTGTTTCACTCACGTGGATCCGTGACATCTTCATCAGGATGATCATTCTTGCGAGCTTTCCAAATCCTCTCCAGCAATCCACCAACAGCAACATTGGACGGGAAAGATGAAGACTGGATGGCTTGAATGAGGTTTTGGACACCTGATCGTCCTCTCTTGTAGGTAATCACCAAGCCAACATAGACAGCTAACCGGTCATTTTCTGAACTCCTTGCGAAGGTGAAATGGTCCTTCCAAACCATCAGAGATTTTATCAGCATGGGATCTCTGCTGATACGTGGATGATGTTCATCAATTGCCATGACAGCATTCTTGAGCGCTTCATGTGTAATCTGGCATTGAGCTATGTCATGCCATGCTGGCAGCACAACATCATCCCAGAAGTCAAACGGCATTGTTCTAAACACAAATTTATGCAAAACAAAAACAAAATACGTCTCCTCTGATTATTGAGTAATGGATTCAACAGGAATTATTCACATAAAATGACAATCAAGCAGAAGACCAGCTGTACAGTGTCACTCAATATAGGCACATGTATACATCTGTAATGATGTTAACCACCTGCCTCCCCCCCCCCCCCCCACACGGCATAGACCCTTATGCATGAAGACAAATACTGCCATGCATGCATCCCATACCACCAATCCTTACACTGTCACCGCTGGTTCTCCACAGCCACACACCGGTATGTAAAACTCACATAATTCATGTTTGGTTAACTGAACACACTTCACCTACAACACAGTCCTCTGTTCTACACCACTACTGTTCATATGTACACACAATCATTTCACTAGATCATGGGTAAAAGATATTCATGGTTCAAGTGATACTCAGTTAGACTGAGTTTTGCAAATCCGCAGGAACTCCACCACCCTCTACTTGAAGTAGGACCAAAGCACAGATGAAGCTCTTAATTAAAATGGTGGGCGGAGAGTAGATCAGAGCCACAACCAAAGAGGTTAAAAGTCTGAAAATCCAAATAGCTGCATGCATGCCAGGATAAACTACCTAGGACTATGTAAATACTACTTGTACTTGTATCACAAGACGTATTAGGTTCTGGGAAACATCACAGTACAGATGGATATCAGGCCCGCCGTAACGGGTCCGGTTGGTCAGGTGATCACCGGACCAACTAGTGGCCACAAAAACATGTTTACTGCTAGGAAGGTTATCATGTTCCCACTAATACCACTATATCAAACATGAACTGTATGAAAGACTATGATATAACCAGACCAATTGAAAACTGCTTCCGGTGGTACTGGATCATTTGCACTTACACAGGAAAGTACTCACCAGTTTGAGGACAGTGTTAAAGGTTTTAAACAAATAGAAAAAAGTAATTTATCGTGTCCGTCCCGAAGGGAACTCACGACGGCCGCTAACACCCGTTAAACCCTAGTGTTGTATTTTTGTATTTTTTGTATTTGTATTTTAGTGTTAAAGGTGACTGGGGTCTGGGGAATATCCTGAGCAGGTGGAATCCAACGAACACTCTTTTCAAGCATGACGTCAGTAGAACTGCACTGACCCTTGGCCTTGTGAAGCACAATATCTTTTCTTAGTTTGTCATTTCCTTATCGCTGTACTAATGTCGTAGTACTACAGACTACAGTGTAGACTAGTGTAGCATGTTAGAATACATTTCACTTACACTACTACTACTTTGAAGTATAACGCATCACTACCACGGATTTTATTCATATCTTGCAAATCTAAATCCGAAATGCAATTCTCGACATAGGATAACTCCAACCAATCTCGCCAGCCTGGCACTACTTGACTGCACTGCTTGAAGGTTTGAACGTTCAAGGTCTATCCTGGCTCTTATTTACAGAGTGTATACATGCACTGTACCTTACCGTAAATACTGGATAGCTGCAGATACAGTGCAGCTTCGGTTTTCCAGCACAAGTCACACTAGTGGCTTATCATCAACACATCACCCTGACTCGTGAGAAAACAACGCAACGATGTTACGTTATCGTCCAAACCTCCTTAGTCACCGACAGACACACGAGCAGACAATGATTTCTCGAGTCGATGATACGCAACAGGTCTACTTTCTCTCTGGTCAGTCTGGGACAAGGGTATGCTGCCTAGTGCAGTGACCAAACACGCTACGGCCCAAAGATACTAGACTATCAGTCTAGAGTTGTGTTTCTTCTTCGCAGATGATCGGTAAAGCGTCTTTACCAAACAAAATTTGACTGTCTGTAGTGTAGCGCGCTTGCGCGAGAACAGGATGGCCTTCATGGTAATCAGTCTGGTGATCAGGTGATGACTTTAGGCAAATAATTTACTAAAATTTACTAAAAATTTACTAAAAAATAGTATACTAGTAGTGTAGATCTACCACTAAAAAGTAAAATGAACGAAATGATTATGTACTGGCGCATGGCAGTAGTCATGGTACCGGTAGTACAGTAGATCTACACTGTAAAGACAAGTCAGTGACCATGGTGACAGTGGCGAGTCAGAGTGGCGGGTCACCAGGTCACTGCAGACACTGGGCGCCGGGCAGGTCATTGCGGACAGAGCCCGTTTGGCGCTTTTCTTCGCATGTTTATTCTGCCCTTCTTACAATGATTGATAAATATGGTGGTAAAGACACACCTGGCAACATGGCGGTAAACACACGCCTGCCCACACACGCTCTCTAGGCTGCAAAGTTCTGGCACAGAGCTCTCCTTCTCACCACCACCACCATCAGTTCGCGCCTGGCGCCTGGTCGATGCATGGCTGGCGGTATCCGGCATAGCAGGCTGGTACATCAAGTAGCGCATGGCACATAGATGATGACACAGCAACGACATAGCTCGATTGCGACGTACGTTTCGTCCCCGCTGGACTCATCAGGCAATCTTCTTCTTGGATGTCTTCATATGGAGCTTGACTCGGGAGAATGAAGTTGACGACATCACTGCAGCTGTACTTATGGTTGATAAATATGGTGGTAAAGACACACCTGGCAACATGGCGGTAAACACACGCCTGCCCACACACGCTCTCTAGGCTGCAAAGTTCTGGCACAGAGCTCTCCTTCTCACCACCACCACCATCAGTTCGCGCCTGGCGCCTGGTCGATGCATGGCTGGCGGTATCCGGCATAGCAGGCTGGTACATCAAGTAGCGCATGGCACATAGATGATGACACAGCAACGACATAGCTCGATTGCGACGTACGTTTCGTCCCCGCTGGACTCATCAGGCAATCTTCTTCTTGGATGTCTTCATATGGAGCTTGACTCGGGAGAATGAAGTTGAAGACATCACTGCAGTACGTCGCAATCGAGCTATGTCGTTGCTGTGTCATCATCTATGTGCCATGCGCTACTTGATGTACCAGCCTGCTATGCCGGATACCGCCAGCCATGCATCGACCAGGCGCCCGGCGCGAACTGATGGTGGTGGTGGTGAGAAGGAGAGCTCTGTGCCAGAACTTTGCAGCCTAGAGAGCGTGTGTGGGCAGGCGTGTGTTTACCGCCATGTTGCCAGGTGTGTCTTTACCACCATATTTATCAACCATAAGTACAGCTGCAGTGATGTCTTCAACTTCATTCTTCTTACAATGACATCATATTATTATGTACTGTCTGAAGTTTTGCGGCCACCACGGCAAAAACGTCAGATGCATACAGTTCTAGCTGAAGACAAGTGGACACCCCCTCGCATAGCCCCGGACTACCTCCTGCGATCCTTTCCCTTCTTCGCCATCACAGTGACCAGGTGACACCCTGGAACAACCTGCCTCCGGACCTCCTGGCCTGCTTCACGAACCTCATTCAAGGCGCCTCTAAAACCTTCAAGGTCAACGTACATCAGGTACATGTATGTAAGGATCTCATCCGAAAGAGATGGCTGTGCATGTGGTCCACACAGACAGTATCTGTAACGATGATATTGAGACCCATCAATTATTTTACCTTTCTACTGACAGTTACCATGGTTACTTGAGTTAGTACTTTGCTGGTTACGATTCTTGTTTTCTTGTTTTCTTTTTTCACTTCCGTTTTAGTTATTACATTGCATTTATATTATTTGGTGCAATATTAGCGCCCCTTTCTCGCACCAAATTATTATTTTTGCTACTTGACCATGCACCCCCCCCCCTTTTTCGATGCCAGGTTGCAACGCTAACGCCGAGACCTCTGGCTCTGGTCACTCGAGTTGCTCCCTGTACATCGGCACGTCGTCCGTACATCCTCTGCATGTGTCTTGTTTTGTGTTTTTCTCCACATGTCTCTTTGTAGGGCTGTGTTCCCAATGTAAAAAAACATGCCCATAGTGCCATACGGTACGCCCCCCCCCCCCCCGATGGTGCCATGATGGTCACATGAGATCCGCGGAGGTACACACGTTTTCCTGCGACGGTGTGTAGACGTGTACCTGTGGATATGGACTGACCGTCCGTGTGTCAACGACATCATGTCACATCAATGATCATGATGATTGTGATAACTGTAATTGTATTGGGATCTCAGCAATCAAGCTGCAAGAAGTCTGAAACAGGAACTAGGGTGACTATGCGAATGATGTCATGATGATGATGGTGAGACAGAGGATTGAGAGGAATCACTTCAGCAGTTCTGGGCGCCACAACAAGTAATAGTTACATGTCTTGTACATGTACAGTGCTGGCAAGTGAAATCCGACCCCCTAGCTGTGCGCTAGCCGCGTTAGCGATTCGTACGAGACGCTAAGGGGGGGGGGGGTCGGATTTCAGTTTCCAGCACTGTACTGAGTACATGGCGAGTAGGTAGTGCATTGCTATGTCGCGACATGGCAGTCATACTTACATGTATGGTGCCTGATCCACATTACGCTGGCCGATGCTGCGACAACGACTCCGACAGGAAATCGGGCGCACACAAATTTGTCGGAAACGCGTGCGACACCACCATCCACACCAGGCAATTTTCGCTCCGATCTCTAGAATTTTCGTACGCCACAGGGTGCCCGGTAGACCAAGGTGGACCACTAACTCCAAGGTCCAGCAAAGAGAGCTATGAGTATACACATACATAATTGTATTATGCTTTATACGGTTCAACACATCTACGATCATGGTCCAACATGAATTACATAATTGTGAGCTACTAGTCATCATCTCCATACACTATTGAGTTACTCTAAAATTCTGTAACCAGTTTTCATGAGGATAATATAGAGCTACAAAGTGTTACACGTATGCCACAACCAGTGCGGGGTCATGACAACGCTCAAGTAACAACAAACTTGCAATCTGAGTACCTCTCCCCATGCATGATTCTCAGGCAATGCAACTTTCGGGCGTGAACATTCTTTCAGGCACGTTCTTTTCTGATGCTGTGGTCAGGAAGGCAATGCACTGGACAGCAAGTGCAAATCACCGACTAAGCTTGAAACATAGTCCACCGGTTGTGAAACTTAAAACGTATAGTAAACTTGTAAATTTGCGCAGCATACTTGTAAATTTGAACCTATGGAAATAGAATCTTCGTGGCAATATGCGGAAAATATGAAATATGCTTCCACCTCCATAGACACATATCTGCAAACAGCATTAGTTGTTTGATCAATAGGCTCTTCAGAGTAACTCAGTGACCTGGAATTCATCTCGAAGGGGACTAGTCTCCGTGCTTAAAACATAGCGATACCGAAGCATTGGATATAGACACACAGCATAGACTAGCACTGCAGTTCAGCGTGGATTTTACTATATACAATTACAAGCTTGCATTGCGAAGCATCTCACTGTGTACTGTTTCTAACGAAAATATACAAAATTTGTTCAAGCATACCTCAGCCAGCTGGAATGCCAGCAAAGATATCAAGACGGCAAGACTAAAAGGCACACAACTGTAGAAAACTTCGGCAGACCCGAAAAATATTGGATTGAACCCACGCGACCGTTCAGCGGTGTCTCCAAACGCCACTCTGACAAACTCTTTGCGGGTACTTGGAAGTTCATGGCTGCTGTGGCAGCCACTTCAAGACAGACCCTGCACGGACAAAGCATACAATGCATAGAGACATTCATTGATGTTTGGAGCACTAAGCTGATGAAATTCGTATGCAGCCTTTTGTTGATGATTCTGAAACAAACTGTATAACCGTTTGATGCCAACCCTTCGTTATAAAAATGTGAGCGGTACCATGGCTACCGCGCCGAGCGTAGCAACGTGTCGGCTGAGACCACCAAGAGAAGAGGAGGAGAGGTTGTTGGATTATGAACCCTTGGTCCTTTGGAATATATAATACAACTCATTTCTCCTTTTTTCTGTATTAAAATAATTTTGCCTGTTGATGGCAAAAGGGCAAAATCCCCAATCGCATATAATATAGCCTTGTTCGACCTTATTTGTGAACTCTGGTCATACGTATTTAGAGTTGAACACGGCATTTCGAAACAATCTCAGTGTTAAATTTTCCGGAACACGAATATCAAGAGCACATAAGCCCACAACCTCTGTACAGTGCTGCGACGGCAGAACTTCATGTCACATGACACAGTTCAAAAGGTTACGCTGGCAAACAGTGCAAAGTGACCACAAGAGAGTTGAACCCAAAGCAGGGCAGCGTACAACCCTGCATCTATCATGCACAGCATGCAAATAATGTGTGACGGGTTCGGTACGTAATGTGAAGTTCTGCCGTTGCAGACCCCATAGCTGGAGTTGCATACTTTCGGCGGTTATGTACTCTTGCTAAAACTAATACTACGGTTACGCTTTTCCAGCCATGCTGCATTTCAGACAATCTGAAGAGAACACAGGCCTAGCCCAACTAGGGTGGTGCCAGATCACCGGGTACACCAATCATGTACGGTCTTCACCACTGCATGATTCAAATAAGTTCCCATCCCTCACATTCACAGTGACAGCGCCTACCCTGAACTACGTACAACCTGATTGGACGACTTCAAACGGGATTATCCGGGTGAAAGGAATACTGTACTGTTAGCTATAGTGGGAAGTTTTCTTATGGATTTATAACTCGTTGCATGCAGAAACACACAGAATAGCAAAGCCAAGTGGCTGTCTATACGTTTGTATTCTCCATGCACATGTCCAGTGGTCTTAACACATTTCGTAGTCTTCTTTTAAACATCTTCAAACTGCACTTTACAAGCTCTTGTCCCAGCCAATCCTGTATGGAACACACTTCCCTTCGCAAGTGCACGGAAGCCTGGTGTAGGAAACATTTCGTATCTGAAATTTACCCGATACATTCACTAACATCA